TCATAACGAACAAATGACTAGAATTTTGATAACACATTTTATAAACAATTTTTTTTATGTATCCCATGAATATGACTCGTGAATCTTCCCCTTAACTACTCTCATTAATTGTTACTCCACGATCGAGTAGTTAAGTAGAAAACAAATGATCATCAACAATTACTTATAATTATGATGATAAATTGTTTTATATTTTAAAAATTAATTTTAAATACAACTTCCATTGAACTTAAGAGGTATATTAAATTTAATTTAATAAATATTAACGTGAGGGGGTATATAGTGAGAATAATCAAAACTTAGAGGGAAACTAATTGGTTTTTGAAAATGCAAGGTTGCGTAATAATTATGATATGACCTGAATGAGCTAATCGTTATTTTCAATTGATGAATTGACCTACTACAGCTATTTTTGACACATTTCCTGTCCCAACATTTAAAAAACGCATTATTCTCTTTTTGTTTTGTTCCTTTCTTCATTTAGTCGACGGTCTTTGATTTTTTTTAACAAGATGTGCACGACGTCGATAATATGGCTACATATTTACGGGCATGAAAAGTTGAACCCCGACGGTACATGTCAAGTCTGCCACAAATCATGCTGTCCTTTCTTTTGACCGTTGTAATGTAATGAAATTAATTTATTCAAACCACTCCCGGTGGATCATCCGCTACTCCCTCCTACGGCTCATCCAAGTCTAAAAAATATCGGTTTTGCTACTTCTACACATTTTTGTTTGGTGACTTTCGAAAAAATAGGATATCGTATCTATCATTCATTTGATTGGATCACATCACTTTATCAATTTTAATTTAGATTTAAATAATTCAACTGGTACATTCTCATTGATCTATGTGGACAAAGGTACGGTACCTTATGGATACCATAGAATCTATCTTTTTGTTTATACTTTTTGTACATTCGTCTGTCTCATGCAGACTGAGTTGTTTTTCCACAAACAACTCTATTAAATTGTCTGTGGACAGAAATTTTTGTGTACGTGAAACAGACGAATGTATAAAAAGTGTACACAAAAAATGTATACACCACGCATTTTTTCAAAAATATTGTTACTTTCAATTGGAAAAATAATAACTTCCCATCGTTGAAAGATATATATTACTCTGTTCGTCCCATTAGGAGATTTCAATTACGATTTACGATGTTTAACTGATGATAAAGCAATTTAATCTCTGCTCACACTCTGATTATTTTTAGTAAATAAAATTTACATATTCAGAAGCTACATTAAAACCGCTACAAAGCCTGATAAAAAATGTAAATTTGATAAAAAAAATTGATATATAAAGGAAAAGATTAAGAATGATTTAAGTTGACCATGTGAATAGTGAACGAAAACCTTTGAATGGGACAGATGGAGTAGACTTTATCATCATTGATAGATAATAAGTGGAACTCTGTCCAAGATACTTGCAGAGATGCTATGCATTTTTATATAATAATCTTGCATCGCAGTTGTCAAGATTTGAACATGAGATTTACTCTTTGTGGCACCCCCTAACTACCAATTGAGCTACGCCCACCAGCTTGTTACTTTCATTTGAAGTATTAAATACTCTCTCCATCCCATAAAATTATTCTTGGATTGACTCCAAACTTTAAGAAAGTGAGAATAAAATAGAAATGTATGGTTGTGATTGAGTAAGAAAAATGTAAATGAATGTTGACTACACAAAACTTTCCAAAAAGTGAAATGGGAAGAATTTTTTGGGACATCACAATATGGTAAGTGAAAAGAATTTTATGGAACGAGGGAAATATATGTTAAATAACTAAACATTATGTATTTCTATTCTTTACAAGTTTTCATCATACATTTTTTACGTTATGATTCTACATGCAAGTCGAATTTGACAAAATTATATAGGACGGACAATGTACATAATTTTGAAAGAGTCCCATATGACACCCTTATGGAGTCATATGGGGTGGTACTGTGACACCATGGTGACACCTCGTAGGGAAGTTGTTCTAAGTGATACTAGATTTGTTCTTTAAAGCAAATTATGTTGAAAGCTGACTATGATAAAATATGGATTTGCATTTATTAGTGTTTGGAAAATAGTCCATAGACTCTTGGACTATGTGAGTGCAAGCTCCAACACTTTATATATTACTACTTTCATCCTACTAACATTGTGACAAGAAAAGCAGGATCGTCTAGAGCAATTTTGAGACCCTAGACAACCAAATAATACTCAGTATTTACTTATGAGATACAATGTACTTATGTCTCAGTAACGCTAGGTAATAATAAAGTTGTACAATTATTAAAAAAAATAGTTTATTTGGTTGATATTGAAGTGATAAAATAAGCATGATTTAGAACCACACAAATTTTGTCAAATTTGATATGTGACATTCTGAATGCATATACTGAAAATTAAAGATGAAACAATTTTAGCGGTGTAGAGAGTATAACTTCAATTTATTCTTTAGTAAAAAATACAAAAAACTATAATATGAAATAAACAGGAATGCTTGACATAGCCAAAAAAATATTAACGTGGATTGAATTGGTAAGTTTTTTCGTGATGATCTTTTACACAATCTTTTAACATATAAATATATATAATTATTTTACAAATTTGGAGAGGATCTGAGCCTAAAAATTAAAAAGGACATTCTAATGCAAAGAATATTATTCTTCGAATGTAAGCAATAAAAGAGTGAAAAACACATGGAGATTCTAATACTCTCTCTGTCCCATAAAATAAGTTTCATTTTCCTTTTTGGGCCGTCCCAAAAAATTGTTCTCATTTCCCTTTTTGGAAATTTTTGTGTGGCTAACATTCATTTACATTTTTCTTACTCAACCACAACCATACATTTCCACTTTATTCCCACTTTCTTAAACTTCGATCCGAATTGAAATGGGACTTATTTTATGGGACAGAGGGAGTATCAAATTTGGTAAGAAAACTACTACAAGACTCGCTAATACTACGTAATACTTTTTTAATCGAGATAATAGTCAATCCAATTAATATAAGATTGTTTTCCTTAAATATTACTGAAATATAACTTATTGAAAAATATTACCCTTCATTCCATTCAAAGCTTGTCACTTTCCCTTTTTGACATCTCAACCACATGTTTTCATTTTCTATTTTAAAAAAACAATTAAAAATGACAATTTAATAATAAATTTTAAATATAATACATTTATAACGTCACATTTGCCATCAATAACTCATTATATTATTCCCTCCGTTCCTTAAAACTTTATCATCTTTCCTTTTTGGGACATCCCAAAAAACTTTGTCAATTTCCCTTTTAATCAATTATTTTGTGGTTTCTGTTATTTCTCTCTCCTTTGTACAAACCTCAACCACACAGTTTTTACTTTATTATTCTCGGTGCCGGTCAACTTTATCAAAGTTTTAAAGGACAGGGGTAGTATATATGTAGACATCAAAATTATTTCTCAAAATATTCTCGAATTAAGATATTGAATTATTATCTATGCATATGAATTATAGTTGACACAATCACGATCACCAAAGTTATAGTCGCTGAAGTATATACAGACATATTTTGTTCACTCTTATTTAGATCATATATTTGTCATTATTTTCAAATATATCACCGAACATGCTTAATCTTGATTTTGTTTTGCATCGACGTAACTTGAGTTCTAAACTAATTTTTAAGTATTTCAATTAATTTAATTAAGGATTTAAGTATATATAATATTATTACTTTTTAAAATGGAGGCCCTACAAAATTTGGAGGCCCTAGACAAATGTCTAAGCTACCCCCCCCCCCCCCCCCCCCCCCCCCCCCCCGGCCGGCCCTGAAGGAAAGATAGTGCGGTCTGTTTAAGTTTGGTCTGGTCGTATTTAAAAGTTTGTTTAATTTTCCCTTTTGTGAAGCTTTTCCTTAAAAATACTCAATTACTCTTATTTTTTGTACTAGTACTTTTTATCTTCTCGTTGTTAATTGCAATAATTTGACTTTCACGATTGTAAACGCATAATTTTAACTATAATAATTATAATTAAATATGGAATACATATTACTCGTAATAAAGTTATGATAAAACTTTAATATTTCGATAGTTCACATTAAGATAAATTTTATGATATTTTATAATATTTTAATTTAATTATATACAAGTATATGATTAAAAAAATTATAGTCAAAACAAAATGACCAGGAGTAAAATTTTAAGCATTGCAATTTGCAACTATAACGAAGAAAGTATTAAGAAAAAGTATTTAAGTGCTTGAAGGAAATAAGTATTGAAAAACTTAGAAAGAAAATGGGATAAGGGTGGGATAAGGTCTTGAACTTGGGAAAAATGTCAAATAAGGCCATATTTAGGATGTTCTATCTGGCCGACGCCATTTAGGGCGATTCTCGGTGGAATTTTTTGATGAATTTTGTTGAGAATCCTATTCATTAAGTCTAGTTTACTCATATCAAATTTGAACTAAAACTTCAATCGGGAAGGCATACAAATGAATTCTTGAAGATAACTGTGCATACAAATGAGATCTTGAAGATTACTGCGCAGTTAAAAGAGCAGTTATCTTAAAGAATTCATTTGAATGCCTTCCGGATTGAAGTTTTAGTTCAAATTTGATATGAGTAAACTAGACTTAATTAATAGGATTCTAAACAAATTAAGAAAAAAATTCCACAAGGAACCGCCTTAAATGGCGTCGGCGGAATAGAGCATCCAAAATATAGCCTTATTTAACATTTTCTAAAATCTATTTAGAAAAGTAATTCGACGAGTAGATGAGAAATTAATAAAAAAAGAACATGTCGTTCGAGAATAGTAAAATTGTGGTTCACAGACACTCATGCAGATCATAAAGATTCAATTAGAAAGGTTCAAATATAAAAAAAATTACAGAAAATCAGATGAAAAATAAAAAATGCAAATAAAAGACAGTAAGAACAAAATATGAAGAGAATGATTATTTCCCAAAATATGGTGTACTTGAGAAAGAAAAAAAAAGATATGGATTGTATTTTAAGAAATTCATTTTCTCTACGTTTTTTTGTTTCAATGCTTATTTTCTCTTCATGTATGAGAGAAAAGTCAGGAATGAGACATTACCAAAAAGCAAACTGCACACATGGTTCAAAGTGCGAACAAGCTAGAATGAAGATAAAATGTGACAGACTGAAGTCTGAAAATGGATGAAACCCTTCAATACATTCAAGAGAAAACGACAGACATGTATAGAGAAGAGTGAAACAAAACTAATTCCAAATACTCAGTAATCAATACTAAGCGCATAAATGCATATGTCTAATGAAGATTTGAACCGCAACTTCTTCTCATTTTCCCCTTTCTTCCGTAAACAGAACTGAAATTAACAGTGAATTAACTAAAGCTTCCTCCATCAATGGGAGCATTTGTGCTTCTTGCTGGATACAAATTCGAACGGGCCAACAGTGAAAAGTGGATACGGCAGCGTTTTGTTCAGAGCAGGCGGATGGAAGTTCAAGGGCGCTCCAACATAGCCAAGATTCAAATTAGTTTTGACATTGCAGTGAGGATTGCCTGAAGAGACCAAGAAAACCTTGCACTTGTGCCAACCAGCAGAGGTGACAATCTTAGGAGTTAAGAGGAAAGACCCATTCTTGTCTGTGTGTACACTCTCTTCCAAGTGATACCTTGTGTTGTTGCAGGCTATTTTGACCACAGCCCCTGCACCACAAGAAAAAATCAATTTTGATTACCTTTTTCCCAAAAAGATTGAATCTTTGAGGTTAATAACATAATCCCAGAATTTTTAATGAATAGTTAACTCACCCTCAATAGGATGATAAGGGGTGGAGATGTTGCAAGACTTGCAGTGTACAGTGCCACAGATAGCTATGGCTTTCTTTTGTGCTGGTGAAGATGGCGACGGTGCCTTGACTGGTGGTAGGGAGTGGTGATGGAGGAGGTGCGGCTTAGGGGGTGCAGCAGTGGGGGGTTTTGCTGCAGCTGGTGATGATTTAGGTGTGGCCGGATGTGGTGGTGGTGCGGTGACAGGAAGATGGTGGTGGTGGTGACCATTAATGGGAGTAGGGGATGGGGAGTGCGAATGGTAAGTGGGATGTCTATTTGCGGACGGTGTTGGTGACTTGGAAGGGGTGGCTGCCGTTGGTGGCGCGGCGGTTGGAGGGTGGTGGTGGTGGTGGTGGCCTTTGACATGCGTAGGGGGCAGAGCAGGGGAGTGTGAGTGAGTAGGCGGTGCGGCGGTCGGGTGGTTGGGGAGAGGAGCGGGGGCGTGAGGAGGTTGCTTGATGGCAGGTGGTGATTTGGGAGGGGCGGCTGCCGGTGGTTTTACGCTGGGCGGAGGATGGTGGTGGTGATGGTGATGGTGGGGGTGAGGAGCAGGTGCTGGTACCAGGCTCAGAGAAATACGACCATCATCGTGGTCAAGCACTGAGATGGAGAAGGGAAGTGAGATGTGGGTCAATACGAAGATGCAGAAGAAGAAGAAGAGTTTGGATTGGGGAACAGCCATAGCCATCACCATGTGATGAACTGGAGTGAGAGAGACTGAGCGAGGGAGAATGGGGGGCTGTTAAGGGTTTCAACGGGACTCTCTATGTATATATAGCACCATTGAACATGCCCCTCCTTTTTATCTGCTTCCTTACCCTGTTTTCGTTTTCAAACACTCCACTACTCTTTGTTTTGTTTTTCACTTACAAATAAACTTTCTTTTTCCTATTTTGTAGTCCATTTAATCAAATCTGATTAGGCCAACGGGAGGGGAAGAGCTAGGGCGCAAATTATATCATAGGTGCACGGTCGAACCCTCTATTGAGGCTAGGGATGGACTCGGGCTGGGTAAACCGGTCGTAACCGGCCCGGGCCCTGTACTATTTTGGCCCGGCCCGGCCCAGTACCAAGGTCATAATCCGGTTCGGGCCACCTGGCCCGGTACTGTTAAGGGGCGGTTCCCGAACCTCCCAAACCATGAACCGGCCCGGCTGGTTCGGGCCATTTTTTTTTGTTTTTCAAAATTTGAAAAATGTAAATGGGTTTGGCTGGGTGTTTGGACGGGTTTGGGGTGTGAGGGGTGGGAGGGGTAGGAAGTAATTAGAAAATCAAAATAAAAAGGTAGTCGGCCCGAGGCCCAGCCTGGCCCGAATCGGTAGCTACCCGGACCGGTTCCGAACCTCAAGATTCCTAAAAAAATCCCGGTCAGGCTCGGACCGAGGCCCGACCCGGCCCGCAACGAGTCCATGCCTAATTAAGGCAAAGAGGCAATTGCCTCGGGCTTAAAAAATTTGGTAAATAATAAGGGTTCATAAATAATTGTATTCTAGTATTGTATATATTCATTTTTTCTATTTTATTAAAATAACAACAATACAAATAATATCAATCAAAATAATATCATGCGACTATATGAGATTAATTATGTGATGTAGGCATATAAATTAAATTGTTTACAAATCTTAATAAATTTTACATTATTCAACAGCCTTTTACAAAAATTCGACTCGGGCCAAAAAAAATGTTAGGATCGACTCTGCATAGGCGCATGATCCGGAAATACGTATTTCATTTTTTCGCTTCTTTTTCTTTATTTTTCTTTTTTACAATTCTCTTTTTCTTCTCAATCAAATACTAACATTGTAATTACAAGTTTACTTTTTTTATTTTAATTCAACTTCAGTTACATCTATCCATTTTGTTTATTCTTTATCAATTCATAACAAAAATATTAATCTATATAAAATAATTATATTACATTTTACATTCATACACTATTTTTATTTTTGTAATACTCCATGTTTTTGCACTATTTTATTTTCATATTCAAAATGTACTCTAGTATTATACACTAGAGTACATTTTTTTGTAATATGTTTTTTTATATTATATACTTTTTGTAATATTAATCTCAATATACTGTTTTTATTTCTGTATTATTTTTTATTTCATACATTTTTTTGTAATATATTTTTTCATATTCATACACTTTTCCTTATACTCCGTAATATTTTTTTCTCTCTTTTATGGAGTATGTTTATAGTATTTTTAAGTCATTAAATTTGTTTATTTTGATTACATTGATAAAATATGAGATTACATCGTAATATAATCTCATTTGATTATCATATTTAGATAAAATGTCACTTTTATGCCCATTTGACAAAATTTAGATAAAATGTCACTTTTGAAATTAAAAAAATCTAGAATGTCATATTTTTGCCCATTTGACAAAACAGTGTCAGTTTTATGCCCCATTAACTTTATAAAGATGACATTTTCTTACTGGTTTTTTATTTTTATTTTTCTTTCAATATTTTGATTTTTTTAATTCAAACGCCATTTTGTTATTTTAATAATGTCATAATCCTTACAAAAATGCCACAAATTTAATTTTAAAAAACTTTACTTGGTTTTGAAAATGTCATGATTTTTACACGAAAATGACACTATTGTGTCACTTCTAACAGAAGGTGACAATCTCAGAGAAGAGAGGAAATGAATTAGCCGGAGAGTGAGGCTCGTGGATGGGTGGTGGTGGTGGTTTGCTTGAAGGGTGTCGACCTCAGCAAAGGGCAATGAGTGCAGTGGTTGGTAAAAGATGTATAACTGCTAGGCCACTGCAGTAGGATGTCTGCAGCACTGCTATGGGGATTGCGGATGGTTCTGCGATGCGGATGTCAAAAGATCATTAAGGGTAATTTTGTCAAGTTAGATGTAATTAGTCCTATTTTTGACCAATAAAACATAGTAGTCCTATTTTTGAAATTCTACTTTGTTTTAATCCTATTTAGGGAATTCTCTCTAATATGCAAGTGTCAAGTGTGTCACTAGGGTTTTTCCTATGGAGCTTTGCACCACGAGGGATGGACTAGGCCGATTCGACCCAACCCAGTACCCGGTTCGGCCCGTCCAAACCGGACCCGGACCATCCCTAGCACAACTTAAGGAATGCCCCTCTCTCTCTCTCTATCAACAGAAGTAGGGATGGACTAAACCGGGCCGTTCCGACCCAGAACCGGCCCGGCCCGTTACTGTTTGGGCCCGGACTGAATCGGGACCGGTTGTCCGGTTCCGGGCTTTTAGCCCGTTTTGGCGGGCCAGGCGGGCCAGGCTCGAGCCCAAATTTTGGTGAACCGGCCTGGCGATTCGGTCTGGGCCCGGTTCAATTTCTTTTTCATTTTTTTTGCTTTTCTAGGTTAGGGTTGGGTGTTTTGGGGTGGTTTTGGGGGTGGGGATGAAGGGAGGGGTCGGGTGTTAATTAGAAACCAAAAAAAAATTGAACTTGACCCGGGCCCAACATTTTGCAAAAAAAAAAACGCCCGGGCCCATCCCGGAACCAGACCGGCCCGGGCCCATCCCTAAACAGAAGTGAGCACTTCTCCCCACGAATGAGAGACAACAATGACTAGCTAGACAAAGTTGGAGGAACGGTGTAGACAACATTAGGGGTGGACCGGTTCCGGTTCTGGCCCGATTCGGGCCTAGGCTCGGCCGGGCCTCGATTCATGAAAGGGGAGGCTTAGAACCGGCCCGGGTAACCCCGGGTCTGGTCCGGGCCGGGCCTCGGTTCTTGTTTTTTTGTTGGCTTTTCCTAATTAATCCTCAACCCTCCCCCCTCACCCCCAAACCATCCCAAACCACCTCAAATGGCCCATCATACTCAGCCCAACTCAAAAACTTAAAAAAAATCAAAAAAAAAAGAAAAAATAAATAAATTGGCCCGGACCGGGCCCGAATCGGCCGGGCCGGTTCACGATTTAGGAGGCACGGGCCCGGCCCGAGTCCACTCCTAGACAACAAGCAGTGGTCAAGAAAGTTTTGTCTTCAGTTTGGCGTCTTGATAAAGGAATTTATATCAAGAAAATTGTGAGAAAAGATATTTGTTTACTTATTAGGAAAAACTGATTGTAATAATCCCAACTATTGGCGGTCCACTTGTAATAACCTCAACTATCGATTATCTCAGAATAATCCCAACTTTAGCGACCTTCCGCCAATAATGGTCCGACATAACCGGCTATAAATAAATTCTTATACTCCCTCCGGTTCCAAAACATCTTGACACTTTGACTTCACATTTGTAAGGAAATAAACACTGTTTGGCACTGTTTAACACTGTTTGGCACTGTTTTGTGTAGATTTATTTGCCAAATAAGGCAAATAAGGAAGTGTAAAGATCTTTCTGGTACTGCTTAAAATGGAAAGTGTAAAGATCTTTCAGAATCGGAAGGAGTAGTTTCTAAAGTGGATGAGAAGAGATATAACAAGTTATCCCTATAAATAATTCAACTTTTAATTTTTACGCTTTACTTCTATTTAAAATTCACTTGTTATAACAGGTCATATCTGGTCATGAACCATTATTGGCGGAATGTCACCAAAGTTGAGATTATTCTGATATAATCGATAGTTGGGATTATTATACACGGACCGCCAATAGTGGGATTATAACAATAAATTTTTCCTACATATTATCATAAAGCAAAACACCCCAATCCTGAGAGTCCTATGTGCTAAATTTTATCATGAAAATGATCTGTGATGTGTGCTAGGTAACCTAGGTTACTTTCCTCGGCTATTTGAACATAATCTCGTAGTTTTACATGACCTGAGATATATGGTACAATTATCCTATATATGGTTATGGTAATATCCTCAGCCAATCGAAAATCTACCGATTTAAAAGACGATTTTCACACCTAGTCTGTCTACACGATGTCTATAAACAGAAAGCTTCTGTATTTCTATATAAATTGTCGGCACACAAACAGTTTGTCTGCGTTGACACGAAAGGTGTGAATAGTTGAATACACAAAAAAGTGTACACAAAAAAAAAATGTATACCAAGCATTCTTAAACTTTTCAATGCATCTCAAATGTTATAAAAGAATTTTTGATGGGGTGCCGAAAATAAAGAGAGAACTTTTGTGTGAAAAAATAAACGCTCCAATTTTATTTTGAAGCAATCAAACACATAACTTTAAAATTCGGAAAACCTATATCCTTTAAATATAAAGAATATTACCTGAAATAGGACTAAAACAGTTTGAAGATTCCAAAATAGGATTGACATGTTTTTTATTCCTCATATAAGACTAATTACTGACATGTTTGAAACATGTCAATCCTATTTTGAAATTTTGAATACTCCGTAGTAACATAAACTCCGTGTATCACTTAACTATATACTACATATAAGAAAACACATATACCCCTTAATCATTTGAATCTAACTACACGCGAAAACATTTGTCCTATTATTTCTTTAATATTAGTAAGTCTCACTACTCGATATTAAGAATTACGCACGAATGAATTACAGTGATAAAATCACACTATCTTTAAATAAATATACATAAATGCACTAATTTCCGCTCAAGGAGCCTAGTAAAGTAATCCGTATGACATAAAATTAGGGTTGGATTCGGTTAAGGCCACCCGGCCCGTGACCCGGCCCGGCCCGGTCGGGCGGTCCGGCACCGGGTCTGGGCCCGAACCGGGGGGAAGGGGCGGGGCGGGCTCGGTTCAGCATTTTTGTGACCGGGCCCGGGTCCGGTTCAATTTAAAAAAAAAAAAAAATTGGTTTGGGCTCCTACTAGTCGTTGGGGGTGGGGCTGGGGACAACCCAAACGGCTATATAGCCGTTGGGTGGGGTAAAGGGGGGGTCCGGGGGGGGTTGGGTGGTGGGGGTGGGGTGGGGGGTGGGGGGTAAAAAAACCTATAAATATTCCTAATCTTAAACATTTTTTCATA